GTTATTCGGGTTTTCTCCCACGTAAAATTGGAAGTGTCTTGGCGACATTTCGACAAGTCCCATTTGTCATCTTCCGGCTGGTGTTTTCAACTTCGTGCTTTGAGGAGCAATGTGTGGTCTTAGTTGTTTCTTCCTTTTAACTGCCAGTGGAGGTATGAACTGATTGGGTGGGAGCTTGGCTGTGTTCTGATTGGGTGGAGGTGTGTTCTGATTGGTTAGGGGTTTGGCTGTGCTCTGATTGGATGGGGGGTTGGCTGTGCTCTGATTGGCTGGGGGAGTGTTCTGTTTGGGTGGAGGCTTTGTTGTGCTCAGGTTAGTCTGAGTTGCAGGGGGATTTAAGATGGTGGGCTGCCTTGCTATTTTTTGGCTTCACGTTCGTGGTCGTGCCTCATCTTCATGGTGGGTGTCAGTTTGCTTCATGTATGGATTGGAGGGGTTTAAAGTGGCTAATGATGCACCTGTGGTCTGGCTTCTGGTTTGTGGTCATGCCTCATCATTGGTGTGGCTTTGGGTTTGCTTTTTGCGTGGATGTGTGGTGGTGACATCCTGTGTGGTTTTAGTGAGTGTGAGTCTGGTGTCATTCTTTGTGTTAGGGAGTCGTTTGTCAATAAGGGCTGGTTTCCAAATGGCTGGTAGGCGGGAGGTATCATCTCGTTTGTTCATGCTGTGTGGGCGTTTTTCTATCTCGATGGCTTCTCTGATTATTCTGTTATTAAAATGTTCAGTTTTGGCAATAGTTCTGGTCTTTTTAAAGTCAATTTCATGTCCTGTTGCTTTAAGGTGTTGGACCAGGGACGATGTTGGTTCCTCTTTTTTGACTGAGTTCTTATGTTCTTCAATGCGTGCACTTATTCTTCTGTTGGTTTGTCCGATGTATGTGTTGGAACAAGCGGTCCCTATATATCTATATATATCTATATATCTATCTATATAAAATATTTATGATAAAATATTATTTTAGGAGGTCCTTAGTGCTATCTGAGCTTGATTCTTGAATACTATCGGTAGAAGAGAATATTTGTAGCTCGGGGTGGAAATGAGGGCACCTTGGTGCTCCCTGAGCTTGGTTGCTTTCTTGCAGATGTTTCGTTACTCAAACTAGGTTATGTTTATGTTCACCTAGTTCAGGCTCTTACGTTATCTAGTCCAGATAATGAAACATCTGCAAGAAAATCACCAAACTCAGGGCCATAAAAAAGAACAGAAGAAAAAACCATTTGAAATGATGTGCTACCTTCCCCCAAAACTTCCCTACTTCTTTTCTTTCCTTTGACCCTTTTCTTTGCCTCCTTCCCAATCCTCTTTTCTTTCCGTTAGTATCTTAATGTGCCAATTGCTTTGAATTTGTCCAACCTCCTAATGAGCATCCTGCAAACACTCCAGGTGAAATGGACTTCAAATGCCTAGGTAGGTGGCTAATGAAGCCGCAGACCCTGTTTGGTTCTTCAGATAAGATAAGATAACCTTTATTGTCATTTTTTTTACTGTGGGCGCAATGGCACACATCAAAAATGAAATTTAGTTGCCCGCTCTCAAAGTGAAACACATACATGACACACACCTAAGCATACAGTACACAACGTATGTATAGACCCACACTAGGTCTCTGGTTGCCTTGCTTCAGATCTCAGATACAAGGAGTCTTGCTGGAATCCAGACAATCCATGGATTTCTGAGTAGTGTTGTGATCCTCATCTCCATCTTGAAGAACTTCAGGCTGGAGTCTGGACCCCTTGGAAGATCAATGGAGGGCAACAGTGGGGACAGGATAGCAGGTGATCATCCCAGTCGCGACCAGACAAGGCTCATCTTTCAGCAGCTGTAAGCCATTTATTAGTTGGGTTTTAATGTTTCCGCAAAAGCCCAGTTGGGTAGGCAGACATAGGAGAGAGACAAATGGGAAAAGAAATTGTGTTAATTACCAGTCCATTTATACGATGCAGAGCTGACCGGTCTGTCATCTCTTCTTCCCGACAAGCTGCTTGTCGGATTTTACATTTTCATAACGGGATCCCAGCGGGGCCTGTGTTGCTTACAATTGCTATAGAGACGGCAGCTGCAGCTGACTTGATCTGTTAGAACAAACCGCCAATGCCTTCAGAAAACTTTGGGGAAGGATTTGTGCCAACAGTCTTGGCTAATCTCAATTGCTTTTGTGCTTAGCTTATCAGACAAACACTCCAGTAAGGGCTCTCCCAGAGATTCCTGTCTTCTATCCTGTTTGAACCCTGGTGTGCCCTGGCTAGGGTATCAGATCTAGGCTGCAAATACATGAATAATCACCAGAGGGCACAAGAGATTGTCTTTTCTCTTTCCCTTTGCTGCCCTCTAGCGGTCATTTTGATTTTTTCTCCCCATCCAGTAGTTTTAGCATGGGAAAGCGAGTTAGGATGGGAGACCAGATGTAAAATGGTGAGTCAAATGGAAGTAGATTTGAAACAGGCTTTGGTCTCTGGAGGCCATCTTGTTAGGGCCTGGCACAACTGAAGTAGGGTCTGCTGCAGACACGGGAGCCTTTGAGGCAGGCCGCCATCTCTCTGCCAAGAATAATTGAACAAATAGTTTATCTGGAGACTCAACAGCTGTAGAGAACAGACGATTTCCAGAGGATTAGGAAGGAGCTGTGAAAGACTATTCTCATGGGAAGCTTAAAGCACTCTCTTGAATACATCCAGTCAAGAACACATGTTGCTTTTTGACCCACTCCCTGCCACCATTACTCTATAAAATAAGGATGAAAATAAAAGACCATTTAAGAGGTCTATGCAGGGTGAACAGACGTTACAGTGGAACGGGCCCTTTTCTGAGAACTTTTCCCGACAACAGACTTCAGCATCAAAGAGTGATGCTGAAAAGCTTTCCTGACATGTTGGGAAAACTAGAGTCCTCCACCAGCACAGCTACTGACTAGGAATTCTGGGAATTGTAGTAGCAATACAGGTCAGGGACCAGCTAGATTAAGCGAGAACGTCCTATAGAGCTAACCCTATTCATGATTTTGCTTAACTAAATGGAGCCTGAGACCAACCAACTTGGATGTCAGAAGAAGTGGTTAAGAAGGATGTTAAGGATTCTGGAACCTTTCATTTAATTGCCCAAATCATTATCAAAGCAATCAAAATCTTATTATCCCTAAGCACTAAAGATAATTAGTTGTTAATGTACTTCCTTGAAAAGGAAGCACCATGACAACGCCATGAGGAAACTTCCATCATGAAAAACATTAGGACATCCTTGTTGATTTGTCAGCAAGTGTGATGTAGTAGTTAAAATGGAGGGCTGAGGAGATCCAGATTCAAGTCCAATCTCAACCATGGAAGCCCACTGGGTAACTTTGATTCAGTCCCCTACAGCTAAACTTTCAAATCCACCCAGTCGTTGTTACTGGATTAAATAGAAGGAGGAAGTGCTGTGTATTCCAGCTTGAAGGAAATGCGGCATATACAACCAACAAATAAATATATGTTTTTGCTGCTAAGCTCCAAACTCAGCTTGAGTTTGTGGGAAGTATTCCCATATTTTGGCCTAGTTGATTGCCCAGGGCTAAGGGGATGGAAGATCAGAAATTGTTCCCATGGTCTTTCTGAGAAGTGGCATGTTTGAATCCAGGAAGGAAGGAAGGAAGGAAGGAAGGAAGGAAGGAAGGAAGGAAGGAAGGAAGGAAGGAAGGAAGGAAGGAGAGAGAGAGAGAGAGAGAGATGTGGTTGCATTCAGATGAAAGACTTAAGCATCAACATCTTCCCTTTCTCATGATCTAGATCAGTGGTTCTCAAATCATCTTGGTTGTATCAGTACCAAGTGTGCATTTTCCAAGAAGCCCAATCTACATTTATTGTTTGACTAGAGGACTTCTTTAAAAAACAACAACACCTCAAGCTGTTATTTTTAGGCTTTCTGCTTTTGTTTTGTTGAGCAAATCCATAACTCAGTGAGGTTTCTGAAGCCTTTGGTCTTGCTGGACCCTGTTTGTTTTCCTCAACCAAATAATTTTTCGTCCTTGCCTACAGTAGATGACCCCACATCTTTTTTTGTCTTATACCACTGTCAAATGCACAACAGCTGGTTCTGGAATAACAGCTGCAATTTTTTTTTCTCTGAACCTTCTTTGAAGGATAAGGAGGCTGTGGGAGGAAACGTTTAGGGGAGGATTTTAATTCATGAAAAAGGTAGAGTCTATATTTGAACACTCTCCTTCAGCATCCAGAACTATAATGTTCGACCTCCTTTTCCATATCAACGACTTTAAAAGATGTTTCTGTGTGCTGCAATATCTGAAGGTTTGATTCAACAGCAGTCTAAGATTAATATGGCTAGTGTAACACGCCTATGAGTTAGGCTTTAGTAGATGGCATGGGTGTTGAAAACAAGAGCATATGTGCAGAATGTTTACACTAGAGCAATTATTATTCAGATCCACATATGACATCAGCTAATTACGGTAGGTTTTTTTAATGTTGGTGATGCCTGCTGCATGAACTGGCTCTCATCAAGTTTAAATGCAAGGTTGCTTGTTTAGTGACTGTTCAAAGTTACAATACTGGTAGCATGAAAATAATGACTTATGACCATTTTTCACACTTATGACCATTGCAGCATCCTCATGGTCACGTGATCAAAATTCACTCATATTTATGAGCTTTTGGAAGCTTCTGGTGAGCAAAGTCAATGGGGAAGCCAGATTCACTTAACAACCTAAAAAATGCAGTGATTCACTTAACAGCTGTGGCAAGAAAGGTCATAAAATGGGGCAAAATTCACTTAACCGTCTTGCTTAGCAATTGTGGTCGTAAGTCGAGGACTACCTATGTGTATAAGTTGTAGATTCACAGCTCACTCTTTGGTCTTTGTCTTATATATATGATCTATTTTTTTCAGATTTATTCCTTGCCATGAATAAGATGTAAGAGCTTCTTTACACTTTGTTTTCTCTCCCAGTTTCAAGATTCTGACTGTACTGTAAACATCTCCAAATATTGATTCTTTTTATCTTTCTTCTTCAGTGTGATCGTGTCGTTCCTGATGAACTATCTTTGAAAGAATTTGGACTTTCTCGCTGAGAACTTTGTCTCTCTTATGCTATGATGATGATATGTAAACTATAAAAATAACAGTAAAATTATGGCCAAACCCTTCAACTACTCAAGATTACATGAAGAAAAACAGTAAATGATCAACATATGGTTTTTTTGCAATAAGAACTTGGATTGCTTGCTTTAATCAGTCACTCTGATTATCAAGGATGCTGTCAATCTAATCTCATTCCACTAATTTACTGCAAATTGATGTCACTGCCCAAGAATGTCCTCTTGGCTTAGACTGTTTGCCACAACATGCTGGTGGAGGTTGGACACATTTCCCTGGTTGTGAAGTCGAGGCTGCATGTCAACAAGAAACAAAAAATGTCTGGATAGTAGATGTGGCAGTACCTGGAGACAGTAGAAAAAAAGAGAATTCACAAAATACAAAGACCTGTAATTAGAAGTAGAATGACTGTGGTAAGAGAAAGTAAATATAGTACTCATAGTAATAGGCACCTTGGGTACAATCCCAAAACATCTGGAGCACTACTTGAACCCCATTGGCACTGACAAAATCATCAAGAGTCAATTGCAAAAGGCAGATTTGCTAGGAACAGCTTTGATTCTGTGATGATACTTTTAATGGTATCAGACAACAACATTTGCCTATCCCAAGTCCTTGAGAAGGACTCAATAAGTATATAAAAATGCCAAATACAATCTAAGCCTCTGGTTGATTGTGTAATGAATCACAATAATCCAGAAATCTTAATATAGCTTTAATAATCTTCACCGAATGTATGAGAATCAAATTAATCTCCAATCCTGAAGGACAGTCCATCATATCTACTTGGGATTGACGAATACTTGCGTTCCAAAAACTGTAAGTTACTTTACCTCCAGTAGGAGAGAATATATATATATTACATTCTTTTGCCAAATAGGTGTTCCTTCTGCACTTCCCATTACAAAAAAATATCTTTCATAGACATGCTTTGAATGTTTTTTGTTGATCTCCTCTAGGACTGACCGGTTTGATTGCCTTGCAGTCCAGGGAACTCGCAGGAGTCCTCTCCAGCACCATAGTTCAAAGGCCTCAATTCTTTGGCACTCAGTCTTTCTTATGGTCCAACTTTCACATCCATACATTGCAACTGGAAAAACCATGGCCTTGACTATACACACTTTTGTTGGCAGGGTGATGTCTCTGCTTTTTAGTATGCTGTCTAGATTTGCCATAGCTTTCCTCCCCAGGAGCAAGCATCTTTTAATTTCTTGGCTGCAGTCCCCATCTGTGGTGATCTTGGAACCCAGGAAAATAAAATCTGTCACTACCTCCATTTCTTCCCCATCTATTTGCCAGGAATTGAGAGGGCCAGATGTCATGATCTTGGTTTTCTCAATGTTGAGTTTCAAGCCAACTTTTGCACTCTCCTTCTTCATCCGCATCAAGAGGCTCTTTAGTTCCTCTTCACTTTCTGCCATTAGAGTGGTATCATCTGCATATCTTAGATTGTTGATATTTCTCCCTGCAATCTTAATTCCAACTTTTGATTCATCTAGCCCTGCCTTTCTCATGATGTGCTCTGCATATAAGTTAAATAGGCAGGGCGACGGAATACAGCCTTGCCGGACTCCTTTTCCAATTTTGAACCAATCAGTGGTTCCGTGTCCAGTTCTCACTGTTGCTTCTTGAGCCGCATATAGGTTTCTCAAGAGACAAATATGATGGTCTGGTACTCCCATCTCTTTAAGAACTTGTCACAATTTGTTGTGATCCACACAATCAAAGGTTCTAGCATAGTCAATGAAGCAGAAGTAGATGTTTTTCTAGAACTCCCTAGCTTTATTTGCAATTCCACATTTATCCACCAGGTGTACCTATAGATCTAGGGAATTCAGTGGGAATGGGGGTGGGGACAGGGAGGAGCAGATATTTTTGTAGAGAAAAGAATGCACCTGCTTTTCATACTGAGTTGCTCACTATTCCTGAAATAAGTCAAAATGCCACCAAATGATATGTGGTGCATTTGTAAAAGTATAGAAGAGAATATCGGTGGCTCAGGTTAAACTGTGGGGGTCCTTGGTGCTCATTGAGCTTGGTTGTTTTCTTGCAGATGTTTCATAAATAGATGCTACCTAGCTGGGTAATGAAAGGTGTGCATGAAAACAACCAAACTGAAAGAACAATGTTAGAATTTCCCTTCACTACCATACTGTTAGTTGATCTCTGTGTAGGTCATCACGATGGCTGGGTTGACACATTACAAAGGTGGCTTGCTTTATCCTGACTTTGTTTCGAACCACCATTTGTTGCGGAAGCAAAATATCCTAGGCTGAAACAAGACAAATCACCCTGTGGCTACATTCAAGTTGTACGGACATTTTTTCATGTGACAGAGGAAGTCTTTCCTACCAGCTTTCTAATACCAAGATGGCTATTAGGGCTATGAAAGAATTGGCTTGTAGTGGGTGGAATTAAATGCTGAAAAATAACACACAACAACCCAGAGAAATACATCCTTATAAAATGAGAAACTGATCAACAAGCTTAGAGAATCACTGAAAGAAGGAATCTAGAAGTTGGCTAGCACTGGCAAAATCCAGTTGGCCACAGCACTGCTTTGCTGCATGATCCCACTTGAGTGACGTAACCAGTGGTGGGATTAAAATGCCTGAACAACTGGTTCTTTTATTGGATGCAGGTCTGGGCCTCCGAGGCCTAGAGCAGACTTCCGGAAGTGGCATCCATACACTTCCAACAGGCCATTCTAGGCCTGGGAGGGTTCCTCCAGGCCTCCGAGGTCTAGACTGGACTTCTGGAAGCAGTGTACATTCAGCCGGTTGTCCAAACTCAGCAAACTTTAGCTACTGGTTCTATTGAACCAGTGTGAACTGGCTGAATCCCACCACCGGATGTAACCCAACCAAATCACTTTCAAATTCAATCACCCCATGGACCCTTTGTGTAGCCCTACTAAATAGTAATCAGAACTAATAGTTCTTTATTATTATTTTGTCTTCTCTCCCCTGCTTTAAGAATAGGAAAATTGATAGCTGCAAGCTAAGTGTAAAGAAGGGTTTCCTTTAATTTACGTCCTTGATTTCCCCCCACCTTTATTATTGTTTGTAAATAATTTAAGGAGGTAAACATACCTAACTCTTCTTCCCATTTTCCCCATAACAACAACCCTGTGAGGTGGGTTGAGCTGAGAGAAAGAGACTGGCACAAAGTCACCTAGCTGGCTTTCACACTAAAGTGGGACTAGAACTCACACTCTCCTGGTGATTGACCCTAAGTCACCTAGCCAGCTTTTAGGCCTAAAGTGGGACTGGAACTGAGTCTCCTGGTAATTGGCTCAAAGTCACCCAACTGGCTTTCATGTCTAAGGTAGGACTAGAACTCATTGCCACCTGGTGATTGGCCTAAAGTCACCCAGTCTAAGATGGAACTAGAACTCAGTCTTTTGGTGTCACCATTTCTCACCGTGGAGTTTCTCTGCCCTCCCGATGAATATGCTGGCCCTTTTCTGCATCTTTTTCAGCTCCACCACATTCTTGTTCAGCAGATGGCCACCGCATAGATGCAACCTGAACTCACACCCCAGATTTATTTAAGCTCAATTTATACTCAGAGTGTCCTTTTCACTTCAATTCGTTTTCATTTGAGCTGACCCAATGAACCTCTTCAAGGAAAGGGTTGGTCCTTAACCCTTCCCTTGATCAAAAGCTGTGTTTCAGAGGACCATGACTTGAAGACTACCTAAAAACTTGTTTCCTTAAACACCTGCTTAATCTCCCCCCCCCACTCCAGGGAAGTAATTTAAAAGTAAACAAATTAATTCTTACAATAGGATCTGAACATCATTGCCAGACCAATTGAATATTCTTCGTGATGAACATCCAAGTCAATCTTGTCAAGTTTTCTTTTCTTCTTGACAAATAAAGATTTAAAAAAATCAAAAGATTTAATTGTCTCACCAATTCCCCCCCCTTTCGTACCTTCTATGCAGCCCCCACCCCATCCAGACCCTCTTTTTGCTATCTTAATGCACGTACAGTTCTGTCTTCTATCCAGATGCACACCTGTGGAAAGCATCCCGGCATGTTTGCCTTCAAGACCTGTCAAGGAGTCTGTTTATGAGCTGACTGCTGACAGATGAATTAACTGTGGAAAATGTGAATGACTTAATATATTATGTGTTCAGAATTGCTTTTTCTATATTATGTATCTCCACTTAATTTATAACTCTGTCTATAAAACTTGGGCTGAGAATTACATGCTGCCACAGGTTTTTTTTTCATTCCTTGGGATGGCATCCAATTCAATTTTTTTTTTCCTCCCAAGAATGAAAATAACCCAGGCAACATAAATAGAACATGGAAACAAGACTGGCATCTTGGAGTAAAGCATGTTTTACGGAGCAGAAATAAATTCATTAAAAGGCTGAAGATCAAGTCTTGGAACAGTGATGGCGAACCTTTTAGAGACCGAATGCCTAAACCGCAACCCAAAACCCATTTATTTATCGCAAAGTGCCAGAGCCTCATCAGCATTGTGGTGCCCTCGGGGGGGGGGGGGGCAGGGAGGTGCCTATGAGTGCCGCCTCTGGCACGCAAAAACTGGGGTCGCAAAAATAGGCCACTGTGCTGCAAGGAACAAAAATGGCCGCCGTTGCATCACGGGGTGCAGATACAAGGCGCTGACCACGTAAGAACAGGACAGGGATAGTGAGTATCACACAGACACTAGCCCCGCCCTATTTGCAGCAAGTGCTTGCTCGCGCCCCTGTGCACGTGTACACGCATGTAAAATGCTTCCCCCTCCCTTTTCTTCCAGTCCACTAATAGACAATGATTGGTGATCTCTGCTCTACTACCGCTACTCGAGCTTGCTAGTCGTCCGCTTTGCCTCCTTTGTGCTGGGCGGGCTCCTGCTCCCAGTGGCAGGGGCGTCCTGATGGACCTGCTGCTGGCGGCGGTGGCGCCCGTGCCAACAGACAGGGCTCTGAGTGCCACCTCTGGCACGCGTGCCATAGGTTCACCACCACTGTCTTAGAACATGGTTATAGATGGATTTTCCAACTGCAAATTATTATTCCTTGTGAGCAATGACACATTAGCACCAGCCCTGGCTTTGGTCAAAATGTGTGCGTTGGCAACCTAGGTATAATTTATACATGTTTTTTTTGTGTGTTTTAGATATGTTGTATCTGATATGTCTTGTCAGATCAGGGATCTATCAAAAAAGTTAAGACATCACCTCCCTGTTCAAAGCCCAGTCTTTTTTTAAAAATTGTGTGTCATGTCCACACTGTGTGTAAATAAAAGGTAGAGTTTTGCTGGCTTGGGTGCATTATCTGTTTTACAAATTGACTGAAATGACTGAGTGAAGAAACTTTGATAAGAAACATCTTCTTAGCAGTTAAAAAAAGAACGTTGCAAGGAAGAACAGCATTTTTTTTTCAGGGCTAGGCAAGTTTCAGAAATGATTAGGAAGAGGTGCTTTTCACAGAACACAAGGCTTCTCTGCTGTTCATTAAAGCAGCCCCTTTAAAAAAGATGGTTTTGAATAGTTGTTTTAAAGAGCTGGTTCATCAAAGATAAAGATACTTTTATGAATTGTAGTGTCTTTTCAATATATGTTAGACACTGGTTGAGTTCATTCATTGTGCCAAGCTGTACGGTACGATGAGTTGTTTTAGTCGAGGTGATAGGTAAACTCATGGTTGAGGGCTTGGTATTGTGTGTGAATCAAACCATTGTATTTTCAGCAAACTACAACTGAAGCAAACCATAGCTTAGTATGATATGGACTGACTGACTGGATTTATTCACACTACGGCAGATTTGCTATCACTGTGACTGGCTGAATAAGTCAGAACTGGCTGGTTTACTAGTCATTGTGCAAAGCAAAATCACACACACACACACATGAAACCCAAAGGTTTGTATTGCATACATTACTCCTTTCTTGTGGAGAAAGCATTCTTCTTCAGATCTCCATACTGGGCTGCAATTGTTAGAAATGTAAAACTACTGGATTTGGGCTGTAAAAATTTGGACAATGAAGAATTGGCAGCCAAAAATTAGAATTTTACGTATTTCTTTGCTGCCTTTTAGTGGTCATCTTATTTTTGCATCCTATTCTGTACAAACAGTTAAATGATATGAATTTACATTCATCCTAATTTACAAGGGTAACTAACAAGTTGGTTTTGCTTCTTTGTTTTGTTTTTTCTTAGACCAAAAATAAAATAAAAAGGATGGATGAATTGACCTTTTGTTTTTCCTAATGTATTCCCACCAATAATAACTTGCAGGTAAGAACCACTTGTCATTCTTTGTTTCCAGAATTCTAATTTTTTTATGTGTGGCTTTGCAATTTGGGATTGGCTGGCAGAGCTAAGATAAGCTGTTTTTCGAACCTTTTCCAAATATGCAGTTTTGTGAATAGCTGTCATAGAGCTTCCTGTTTTTCTGGTTCTTTAATCTGGTTAAGAAGCAGAATTGATGACAATAGGAAGTCCATGAGCTCTGGATATTGAAAGCTTAAGACACCTGCATGTGCCGCCCCAACAGAAGGTACAAGACAATGTATACTGGAATATTTCAGGTTAATGTCAGGAAATCAACAATACAATAATGGATCTGTTGGCTGGGCTCCTGCTTTGGTTCACATTAAGTTCAGACCTTCTTAGTCCCTCTTTGTTTTGGTTTACACTTAAAGTGTTACAATGCCTTGGTAAGGCCACACTTGGAATACTGCATCCAGTTTTGGTCACTACAGTGTAAAAAAGATGTTGAGACTCTAGAAAGAGTACAGAGAAGAGCAACAAAGATGATCAGGGGACTGGAGGCTAAAGCATATAAGGAAAGGCTGCTGGAATTGGGTATGTCTAGTTTAATGAAGAGAAGGACGAGGGGAGACATGATAGCAGTCTTCCAGTATCTCAGGGGCTGCCCCAAAGAAGAGGGAGTCAAGCTATTCTCCAAAACACCTGAAGGCAAGAAAAGAAGCAACAGATGGAAACTGACCAAAGAGAAAAGCAAACTAGAACTAAGGAGAAATTTCCTGACAGTTAGAATAATTAATCAGTGGAGCAACCTGCCTCCAGAAGCGGTGAATGCTCCAGCACTGGAAATTTTTAAGAAGAGCTGGATAGCCATTTGTCTGAAATGGTATAGGGCAGGCATGTCAAACTCGCGTGGTTGAATTCTCACAATGCAGCCCATCTTGTTATTACCCCAGGAGTCTTCAAACTTGGCCCTTTTATGACTTGTGGACTTCAACTCCCAGAATTCCTCAGCCAGGCATGCGTGGGAGTTGAAGTCCACAAGTCATAAAAGGGCCAAGTTTGAAGCCCCCTTACTACATATTGACTTTGCAAAGAGAAAATGTATCTTAAACTAAAACAAGTAGGTGGATTTCTAGCATCTGCCAGTTTACCCCAGCAACAGCAGCAGAGGTGGCTAGACATAAGTCAAGGAGGGCATCAACTTAGGGAAAGATTATTTTAGCATACCAGTAAGGATGAACTTTGTGGATTTGGATGTGAGTGGATCTCAATTGCCCCTCTGGGGCCTAGTGCATATTAAAATTTAGTCATCAACCATTTTTCATATTTCCAAAATGTCTCGACACACTTTCCCGTTCCAAGCAATATCAGAATGCATGGAAGTAAATCTTACTTTGTAAGAAATTATGCTGATATGTGGTAAATGTTTTTTTAAGCATGTACTCATCTTCGAAAGATATCCTTCTGGTCTCCTGGAAGATGGCATTCGGTAGATGGTTTTATGGAAAGTGATTTTTCAAGGGTGGCAACTGCTAACTGAACAATCTTTCTAAGGAAATGCATGTTGCTACCTGTTCAAGGCTGAACTAAGACGTTTGGTTTCTAGATGGCTTTTCAGATAGGAAAAGATAGCACTCTGCAATCAGTAGGTTGGGATTGTTAAAATGCCCTCTGCATAAGGCTGTCCTTGAAAACCATCCAGAAGCTTCAATTGGTCCAAAATGCAGCTGTGTGGGCATTGATGGGGGTCATCCTTATGCCATATAATACCTCTACAACAGATGCACTGACTTCCAGATGGGAAGTGTGGAATCTTAAAGTAAGATTTAAGAGGTTTAAGACTGAATCTTAAAGTAAGAATTATTGTTTTGTGTTGCTGTCTCTTGTCTTTTTCGTTGGGTTTTTCCATGACAGAAGGAAGCCATTGAGGAACTGGTGATGACCTTTAAAGTCCTACATAGCCTAGGAGCAGCTTTCTTGAGGAAGCACCTTCTACCAAGAACATTACCCACCCCACATATTCGGACAGGGAGGACATGCTCCAGGTTCCTTCTTTTGAATCTTGTTGTCTTATGGCTCCTAGGAAAGTATGTGTTTTCCGCAGTTGTCCCTGTCCTCTGGAGCAAACTATATGACAGGTCCCAACTCTTCTCACCTTAAGATCTGGTCTTTGACAAGCATTAGGGACCAGTTCAGTGGGAGCCCTTTGGTGATCGTTCTGTTATATGCTCTGCTCACCATATTCCATTTGGTATTTATATATTGTCTATTGTTTATTGTGGGGGGTCCTTGGTGTTTTTTGAAGTTGGCTGTTTTTTTGCAGATGGTTCATTTTTTAAGTAGATAATGGCATCAGTGCTAGAAGGGAATAGTATTCTAGCACTGATTATGTTACCTAGTTGGTTAATGTGACGTCTGCAAGAAAACAACCAAACTCAGAAAGCACCAAGGACTCCACATTTCAACCCTGAGTTATAAACATTGTCTTCTGTATTATGTATTGTTATGTGGGCTTTTCTTTTCTTTCTTTGGTGTATTGTTGTGTTTGCACTGTATGCCACCCAGAGTCACGTTGATTAAATTGGGTGGACTTATAAACCAAAGAAACTTAAATAAATGCTTTGATGCATGTTCTGAAACCCTGGCATTGGGTATAACTTCCATGGCAAACTGTTCCTTCCTTCTGAATATGTGTCCATACTCCTGACCTGCTCTTTTGCACTTCCATCTAGTAGGAATCTTAAATCTAGTTAAAGGTCCTCTAGGAATCTAAGAAAACTTCAAAACATAAGTCCCAAGTCTGAAGTTTCCCAATTTCTTCTTTATGACCACCATCTACTTCAGGGGTGTCTAACCATGGCAATTTTAAAACCTGTGGACTGGCTGGGGAATTCTGGGAATTGAAGTCCACAGGTCTTAAAATTGCCAAGGTTAGACACCCCTAATCTATTTGCAAATACAGTGTGTTAATTGCTTAGCTACCCTATGCTGGAGGAATGAAGAACACCATAGTAAACCCTCTGCTTTTGTCTCAGTGCTCTCTTTGTCAACCAAAGGAGCAGAGAGTGCTTTGACTGAAGCCCCTAATCCTTATCCTTTCCACACGCACTTCCAGTTCTGCGAGATCCCTTTTCCACTTACGAAAGCTGCTGTCAGAGCTGGCTTGTGGCAACCCACCAAGGGATTTGCGAACCAGGCCGAGAAAAATGACACCCTTTGTCTGGCAGATGCTCCATTGTCTCTCCAACCACAAATGATTATTCGTCTACACCTATCGGTGACTAATTCTTCTGTAACCAGGATGGGAAAGTGTCTTACCTAACCAATCTTAATGGGCTAAGTATTTCAGTGGTATTTGTTGAACAATATATAATTGCTCTGTTTAGATTTAAATGAAGGGCTCCTTTGAGGACTCAGGGTGTAAACCAGAAAGTGTATTCATTTCCTGAGATTCTGGTGAGTAATACTCAGTAATCAGTGACTAAAAGACTTCTGTATGTGCACATTTAATATAAACATGTAGCAGGATGAACAGGAAATTGTGTCCCTTTCTATTATAAAGGCCTAATACAGTAAACCCTTTCACAGATCATAATTTTTATGTAACCAAGGATTATCTAACCTAAAATATGTTGGGCTGTTGCCATGGTTTCATTGAAGCCTCCCTTACTTTTTTAAAAGTATTTTATATATTTTCTTCAGTTCTAGTAATATAAATTTTGATATTTTTGCAGTGTCTGGTTGTTTACAGATTATAACAGCTAACTACTTTTGACCACTGTAACTGTAGAGAGGCAGTTTGGTCTAGTGGTAAAGGCACCAGATAGACTGTGAGTTCTAGTCCCACTTTAGGCACGAAAGGCAGCTGAATGGCTTTGGGCCAATCATCAGAGTCTATGAGTTCTAGTCCCGCCTTGAACATGAAAGCTAGCTGGGTGATTTTGGGCCAATCACCAGGAGACGGTGAGTTCTAGTCCTGCCTTAGGCATGAAAGCTGGCTGGGTGACTTTGAGTCAATCACCAGAAGACGGTGAATTCTAGTCCCACCTTAGTCATGAAAAGTGGCTGGGTGATTTGGGGCCAATCCCTCTCTCCCAGCCCAGCCTACCTTACAAAGTTGTTGTTGTGGGAAAAAAATAGGAGGAGGAGGAGAAATTACTACCTAGTAGGTAGACACTGGCTTGAGTTACTTATAAAGTAATAAAGACAGGATAAAAAGAATCAAATATATAAAAATAAAACCACTTTTCTGATTTCTTTCAAAGCAAACTCTCTAGAAAGGCTGCATTCTGAAACCATCTCACCTTTTGGATGGACAGGGTGCTCCTAACTGTGTCTGAATATTGACTTGGCTCTGTTGCTCTTTATGGTAACCAGTTTGCACCTAAAATAAAGGCACCACCCTGCTTGCCTTGGCAGTGTTACTCTTGAGCATTATGGGCTTGATGTGCTGTAAATCTTTATTATCAGCTTCAGTCCTAACCTTTGGGCTGTCATCAGTGCAAATCAAGCAGTCGCTTCCAGGCCAGGTAATTAATTTAAGTGGCATAAGTAGGTGCCTGGATTACCCTTCCATTTGAGGAGTGTCAGCAGAAAACAAGACAGTCATAAAAATAATTCAATTGCCAAACACACTAAAAAAAACAAAAACCCAAATCTACCTAAGGCCACATTCTCTTCTCAGCCACACTATCTTTGCAGTGGAATAACCTCACCAGCTTGGTTCGGCTTCTTCCTTTTTCTACACTAAGTCTGTGCATAAACTTGAGAGAAGCCAAAGAACTTGCCTTTTTCAACCTGGTGCTCCCCAGATGTTCTAGATCATGGGTATCCAACCTGGGCAACTTTAAGACCTGTGGACTTCAAGTCCCAGAATTCCCTAGCTAGCATTTACAAAATTTATAAAACTGACAATTTTTATTTATGGTAAGTTTTCTAATGGATCCAAACATGGAACATAACTTTCCCCCCTTCACAGTGTCATGCATGCAATAGATTTTTTTTGTTGAGTAAATTGCCCCATGACCTTAAGGTCCTTCTATCACTCATATGGGAGTGTGGGTGTTATGTTTGCCTGTTTTATCTTGTAAGTGTTATCTCTGAGTGGATATTTATTTTTTTTTCTCATAGGATTCAAGTTCCTTCTTATACTGTCATAAATGCAAGCAAAAGCTGGAGACAATTGCCATCATTTGCCTACTCTTTGGTCCATAAAGATTTTGGCAAGCAAAACTAGAGTAGGTCACCAGGTCTTTCTCCAAAAACCATAAACAAAGAAGTCCTAGACCGAACCTCACCAAAAATATCACCCAAAGCCAAAATAGTCAAACAGAGGTTGTCATACTTTGGTCATGAGAGTTGACACACTCGAAAAGTCAGTCATGCTGGGAGTGATCAGCAGAAAAAGAAGAAGGGCTGCCTTAGTACCCGATGGCTGGACACTATAAAAGATGACACCGGGATGACCATGGCGGATCTGAAGGAGACGGTGCAAGACAGAGGGATATGGAGAGTGCTGATCTATAGAGTGGCCAAGGTCAGATGCAGCTGAATGGCTGACAGTGCCTACTCTTTCCACTTGATCTCTTTTTACAATTGCCAAACAATGTCACAACATGACTTGAAATTCACGATTGCACACATATTCACACACTTTAACCTGTTTTGAAGACCTAATGCCGATGCTGGACACCCTTTGGGCTCTTCAGATGTTATTCTGGGATAACTTACATTAAAAAGAAGAAGATTGAAAATAAGAACACCTTAATTTCCCCATGTTCTCCTTACTCACTCCTTATATTACTCCCTTTCTTTGAGGTGCTTCTGACACTGTTCATGAGAAGAAGCAACATCTGTCAAAACTGTGTCAGAAAAAACGTGGGAGAAAGGAATAGAAATCTGACACACTGATTGATGAAATCATGCTGCAGAAACATGATCTAATGGCAGCAGTGGTCCTTTGATCATAAAATCATAAGCGCTAAAAGGGATCTTTACCATAATCTATTTGAACTTCCTGATCTATGGAGTATCAGCAAACAATTTTAGCTGGTTGTTCACTTGTTTGTTCAATTTACATCTCACCTCTATTACTCCAGGTGGCTTACAAAGATATCAGGACCGAACAACCTGGAAAGTAATCAGAAAGATAACAAAAAATCATTAAAAAAGCTTTGAGAACAATAACCATTATTAAAAAAAAACCATTAAAAACATTAAGTGGATTCAAAAACGATAGGGGGAAAAGTGCTACACTGGATATACAAATGGAATCAGCTGACTCTTCACATTCTAACCGAAGAGGCGGGAACTGACAGCCACAGCAGGATGAAGAATTTTGTGAGAAGCAACAAAGGAAGAATGAAATAATGAAATGGTGCTTCTATTGTGAAGGCTCGCTTGAAGCTCACAAAGCTCAGAGGGCAGCTATGTTGAGCAAAACCATCATTTCCCCATTTGTCTTGAGGCCATTCCATGCAAAACGGTGCTGCTAGGAACAACAACTGCTTATGAATCAAAAGAGAGGAATTTACTGAGAAGGTGTCAGCAGTAGCTCATGTCAACGTTAATTAAGTGAAGGTTTTCAGCAAGGAGAATGCTTCTGCTTGTTGGCTCCTTAGGCAGATCAGAAAGTGAAAATGGCACTTGTTAATTCTCCTGAACACAGTCTGATCGAGCATCTCGCTGTACAAATATAAATAATGATGGTATATCTAGTGCTGGAAGTTGTTTCTGTCATACTTCCTAACAACTGTGGTTATGAGAAAGTCCCTGGAGGGCACCAAGTTAGAGCAAGTGGTTTTCTCCAGAAACCAGGGACTGTACAAGATGGCTTGGCTCCCATTGGGACTAGACTTATGAAGCAAACATAGCTTCATAATCAAGTTTACTGCCAGCTCTTCTGTTTCTGAATACAAGCATTCAAGTCTACATCTTGAAAGATATAAACTTTTTGCCAGTTGGCTGATACTAAAGAAAACTTGACGTTACTCAAAATTACTTGCTACTGAAAGAATAGCTCTACTCGACTGGAAACCTTTCTTCAGAGACTATGTCTCAAAGGTGCTTTTCCCCTGCCCGCCCCCCCGAAAAAAAGGCAACTGGATTGTTTTTTTCCTTGAGAAAGACGTTTTGCATCTCATCTAAGAAGCTTCATTGGTTCTGATGAAGCTTTTTGGATGAGAAGTGAAATGTCTTCAAGGGAAAGCAAAGTCCAGTTGCCTTTTGAAAAAAAGCATCTTTGTGACAACTGTGACCTGGATGACAGAGAACCTCCACAGACATTCAGAGATGATGCTTTGGAAATCACATGAGAAGTAAGCAGAAGAGATGCTTTCTCAATCTTGTGTTTTACTTTAGTCCATATCCCATTTAACTGAACTAGATTTGATACTCAAGTATCATATTTTGCTTTATTCTCTTTTTCTTTATTTGGCTATTGCATATAATCTTTGTTGCTTTACAATATTTTACTGATAACATTGGTGGTCGGATAATTTATTCTGCATTGTTTCCTACCAGTTCTCATTCAATCTGATGAAAGAGTATTTCCTTTAGAATCTTTTTCAAGGCACAAATTAATTCTGGTAACATTATTTTATCATTGATTTATGCATTTACTTAGTCATGAAGTGACTAGGGAGAATTTGAGAAGGTCCCTGTCTTTTATTATGCACCACTTTTTTTTGGTAGTCACAAACTCAGTTTCATCCCATTGTTGTTGTTAATTGTGATGTTGTGTCCAACCCATCGTGACCCCATGGACAACATTCCTCCATACCTTCCTGTCCTCTACCATCTTCTGGAGTCCATTTAAGCTCATGCCTACTGCTTCAGTGACTCCATCCAGTCACCTCATTCTCTGTCGTCCCCTTCTTCTATTGCCCTCAATCTTTCCCAGCATTAGGCCCTTCTCCAGTGAGTCCTTCCTTCTCATTAGGTGGCCAAAGTATTTGAGTTTCAACTTCAGGATCTGGCCTTCTAAAGAGCAGTCGGGGTTGATCTCTTCTAGGACTGACCGGTTTGAACGCCTTGCAGTCCAAGGGACTCGCAGGAGTCTTCTCCAGCACCATAGTTCAAAGGCCTCAATTCTTTTGCGCTCAGCCTTTCTTATGGTCCAACTTTCACAGCCATACATTGCAACTGGGAAAATCATGGCCTGGACTATGCGCACTTTTGTTGGCAGGGTGATGTCTCTGCTTTTTAGAATGCTGTCTAGATTTGCCATAGCTTTCCTCCCCAGGAGCAAGCGTCTTTTAATTTCTTGGCTGCAGTCCCCATCTGAGGTGATCTTGGAGCCCAGAAAAATAAAATCTGTCACTACCTCCATTTCTTCCCCATCTATTTGCCAGGAATTGAGAGGGCCGGATGCCATGATTTTGGTTTTCTTAATGTTGAGTTTCAAGCCAACTTTTGTACTCTCCTTCTTCACCTGCATCAAGATGCTCTTTAGTTCCTCTTCACTTTCTGCCAATAGAGTGGTATCATCTGCATATCTTAGGTTGTTGATATTTCTCCCGGCAATCTTGATTCCAACTTTTGATTCATCTAACCCTGCCTTTCTCATGATGTGCTCTCCATATAAGTTAAATAGGCAGGGCGACGGAATCCAGCCTTGCCAGACTCCTTTCCCAATTTTGAACCAATCAGTGGTTCCGTGTCCAGTTCTCACTGTTGCTTCATGAGCCTCATATAGGTTTCTCAAGAGACAAATATGATGGTCTGGTACTCCCATCTCTTTAAGAACTTGCCACAATTTGTTGTGATCCATACAATCAAAGGCTTTATCATAGTCAATGAAGCAGAAGTAGATTTTTTTTGGAACTCCCTAGCTTTCTCCATGATCCAGCGTATGTTGGCAATTTGATCTCTAGTTCCTCTGACCCTTCGAAATCCTGCCTGTACTTCTGGTAGTTCTTGATCCACATACTGCTGGAGTCTAGCTTGTAGGATTTTAAGCATAACTTTACTAGCATGTGAAATGAGTGCAAAGGTGTGATAGTTTGAACATTCTTTGGCATTGCCTTTCTTTGGAATTGGAATATAAACTGACCTTTTCCAATCCTGTGGCCACTGTGGAGTTTTCCAAATTTGCTGGCAAATTGAGTGTAGCACTTTTACTGCCTCGTCTTTTAAGATTTTGAATAGCTCAGCTGGAATACTGTCACCTCCACTAGCTTTGTTGTTGCTCAGATTTCCTAAGGCTCATTTCACTTCACATTCTAGGATCCCATATTTTGGTTCAAAGAAGATAAGATAAAATGATAAGATAAACAAGACAATTCTTCTAATGGGACTTTTTTTTTTAAAAGTAGGAATGAAATTGTTAACACTAACTCACGCCATTGAGAAATTACAGATTCAGGTGTGAATCAATTGTTTTGGGAACAATAACATATTACAGAATTTTATGAGATGATTTTTGTACATTGGGTCGGTTGGTTACTTGAATAGAAAGCAAAAATGAGATGGTTTTGTCTTGGCTGAGACCAAGTACCTTCGTTTTCCCAAGACGTTTAAGAACTTACCTTAGATGTGTGATGACAAGGGCATTGACATGATCTGCGCAATGGGGAATGTGGAAGAATGATTTTGCAGGAGCTGGAGAAAGGAAGAAATAGAAAAAGCCAGAAATTGACTTTCCAATTGCATCTTCCTTAGGTCAGATCTGGATGGTGGTGCCTGAAGCAATCAAACGGCCAGACTTATTTTTGCAAATAGAGAGAGACTAAAGTTGACTCAATGGCAGCGTTTCCTCCAATGCAGCAGATATTGTGTCAATCTTGGTGCCTGAATTGTAGACCTCTGTTGGGATCTAGTTGCTTCATGCAACACAGCATAGAACATAACCAATCCTCAGTTTGATATCAACGAAAGTGAAAGCTTCTAGATGAAGCACAGGTGAATATTGCTTATCTCAGGGTATTCCCATAGAGATAAGTGCCTTTATATAATGTGGGAAATGTGGGTGCTATTGCATTTTAATGTGGCGGCATATAATACCAACTCACTTATTATACCTTTGCACCAGGGGCAAGAGAAGGATTAACACATGTATGAGCAATGGAAATAATACTGAGTGGCTGAAAGATTGATGATTTAAGACCAATTAATATTTATTTTAGGGCTTGTTTTTTTTACAGCAGGGAAAATATCAAAAAGATTAATTATTTATTGAATCGCTGAATCTGCAGAGACACCCCAAAACCCTAAAGAAGGGGAAAAGGAGAATTAAAATATTTGTCACTCAGTACTTGGCAAGATAATCCCTTCAGTAATCCAAGCTCATGTTTTGATAACATCCTTGGCTCTAAGGTCAACTTAAAATATAATCAGGAAAAAATATTAAAAGCAGTTAGGCAGAGGAGGAGTGGAAAAATACGGGCGGTATTGATTTATTGTTTTCTTACAGTGGGGACGAGAGGCTGGCTCAAGGTCCTTAAAAAGGCCAGCTTGCCTTGCACTTCTAATAGAAGTTGCCAATGTGGGCAATTCATTTGCTATACTCAGCAGCCCAATTTATCTATTTCTCAGGAATTTACAAGGGAGTGATAAAAGAATAATCCCATCAAACCAGAATGAAAGCAGTTAGAGTCAGGAAGGGGGAGGAGGAGGAGGAGAGGAGGAGGAGGAGGAGGAGCAGAAAAAAAGGAGAAGAAGGAGGAAGAGGAGAAAAGAGGAGGAGGAGGAGGAGAAAAAAGGACAAGGAGGAGGAGGAGAAAAAAGAAGAAGGAGGAGGATGAAGAGGAGAAAAAGAAGGAGGAGGAGGAAGAGGAGGAGGAGGAGAAAAAAGAAGGTGAAGAAGAAAAAGGAGGAGGAGGAGGAAGAGGAGGAGGAGGAGGAGAAAAAGGAGGAGGAGGAGGAGGAGAAAAAATGAGGACAAGGAGGAGGAGGAGAAGGAGGAGGAGGAGGAAGAGGAGAAGGAAGAGGAGGAGGTGGAGGAGAAAAAAGAAGGTGAAGAAGAAAAAGGAGGAGGAGGAGAAAAAGGAGAAGGAGGAGGAGGAGGAAGGAGAAAGAGAAGGAGAAGAAGATGACAACATTCGCGCGCGCGCGCGCGCGCGCACACATGCATTGTTTATCTACATATCTTCCCAGAGGGGTCAAAAGGACAATGCTGACTGTCTTTGCATATCTTTCAACAGGCAATGTAATAAATATTACCTAGGAGATATTTTATTTGCCTTATAATTACAGCACCACCTTCCCCCTGAAGAAACAGACAGTGCTAGCTAAGCACCTTATTAATTTGCATAATTAAGGAAACTTCTGTTCTCTCTACATTCCGGTTCCAGGCTATTGTTTTCCTGCATGACCCTTACAGAAATAGAGCTCAATCAAGTGAGCTTTGCAAAGAGCTGCACTATCTTTCCTGTTCCTTTCCTGATGATCACTGGAGAAGCTCACATAAGAAAAGGCTGATCTTGGATCAATTCACTGGTGTGGTACTGTGCTCTTCTTCTTTCTCCAGAGTAAACACAGGGGATCCATAGCCTTCAGTATGACATCCATCACATGGCAATTTATTGGCCATGCTCATCAGGGCTACTCTGAGATAGAATTAAGGAGGAGCACAACTTACACCTTGTTTTTGATGTTCTGGTGGATCAGACCAACATTTTATTCAGCCTGGCATCTTGTTCCCAGATAAAGCAGGGCATGAGACAATTAATTCCTTATCCCCCAGACACTGCAGCCTAGTGGTGTCCTATGTATGCCCCTGGAGGTAGCCTATCAACCTGGCAATTGGTAGCCATAAATGGATTTATCCTCCATAAGCAAAATGTCTCTTGATAACTTAAATCTCAGTGGTCCTTCTGTTTATTAAATTAACTATGGATCGTTCAGTGTTCCCATCCCTGCTGTAAGGGATGGAAGCTTCTATTTTATTATTTTTTTTGTCACCCTTACCAAATCACAATTTGAAGAAGTGCAGAGGAGTTGTGGGAAAAAAAATTGCATTTCATCTCATCTCACTCCGTCCTTCTTAAAATCTACTCCCTGGTCACCCCCTCTCCCTAAGACAAAACACATCCCTTCCTTCAGTAGATTGCAAGTTGGAGAAAAGTAGATGGAATATGGGAGGACAACTTGGGTGTGAGGAAGCTCCAGGCCGAGGATGACTTAACGACTGTATCTTTTTTAAAAAAAGACTTGGATGGGGATTCTTTCCAGTTAGAAGTAGGATCTTATGTAACTATCAAGTCATATTTTATGTTAAGAATTGATCTCAATGTATGCAGCATGACTCCAGTTACAGATGTGATTCTGTTCTTAACTCCATTAACCAGGTACCTGAACAGCAATAACGAATCGGTAGTACAACAATATCATCAGGCAATCTTGAGAGATCACAAGCAGGAGGAGTAGACTGGTTATACCCTTGTGATAACCATGGGATGGGTTGCAGACCAAGTGTCTGCTCCCATTACAGCAAATCACCCTTCTTTGGCAAACTCACAAATTATACAAATTTTAGTGACATCTCTTGATTTCAGGGGTCTGCTTAGGATTTTATCAGCCAATGGGTGAATCTCCAAAGAAGCAAGTGCCTACAAGAAGCGACTGGCACACAAACACTTGACTCAAGTTAGTGCTACAAGCTCAGTCAAGCTTCCAAAGACTTGACTGAGCAGGTTTGAACGAAGACAAGGAACTCGGCTCAAGTGCTATGTTTAGAACATTTATTTGCCTTCCCAGGAAGATAGGCTGAGCTGTATCCAAAGGCTGATCTTCTGATTCTAGTGAGCAGATTGGCACAATCCTAAGCCAAAAATGGGGGCAAAGAACCTACTTCTCAGGATGGTTAAGCAGGAGATGATGATTATATTGTTCTATGGAGGACTTTGTTTTAATGAGTTTGATTTAATGGAAGCTCAAACTGATTAGTCAGCAAGAGCCAGATTTAATCAGGGGTGGCAAATTTTAACTGATGGTTTTGCATGCTCAATTGGTTTAAGCAACAATGTTGAGAGCTTTGGTTACTGGTAATTGTTTCTGAAAAGCTGTTAGTTTGACCTTTGTATTAACTCTGATAAAATACTGGTTCTCTTAAAGCTCCCTTACTCGCAGGTATATGTAGCCGGAACCCCTGAACTGTGTTTTATCTCTGTCTGGCAATTGGTAACTGAGTCTTATGCATTAGAAAGACATCAAGATAAGGAATGTGAAGCTACAGAAACAAGGCAGAATGATGGCCCTCTGTAATTATTTTTTAAAAAAATATATTTTATTAATTTTTTACAATTTCAATCTTTAATGCTTCATGAACAGAGGGTTGTCTGCGTTCATATATTCAAAGCAATCAATAACAATTAATTTCTACAATTAATCCATATGTTGGTAATATATTTCTTGATCCTCTCTTCTTCCAATAATAATCTCTTTTTATCTACTTTAAACAAATATAGTTCTTAATATTTTCAGTACATACCAAGTTGAATGTAAACGTTTTTTTGTTTTTACGCATATGATAACATCAACATATAACATATTTTCTAATCAGCTTATGTTTCTATTATATTTATAAAAATCATCTCAAAGTCATTCTGTGTCCGGTTCAAACTTTTTATTAAAGTTTGGTCCTTCCCCCTGGAAGCAGGCGATAGATCATAAACTGGGCTCTTATGGGCTCTCTTCGATATTCTTAATGTCCCTAGGCCAGTGATGGCGAACCTTTTAGAGACCGAGTGCCCAAACTGCAATCCAAAACCCACTTATGCATCAGTCGAGTGCCGGGTGGGTGTGGCCCATTGGGTGGGCGTGGCTATGGTGGCAACGGCGGATTGGGTGGGACTAAAAAGTTCAATCAATCAATTCCAACTTTGCAAGATCTTTTTTCTTTCCCGTGAGAAGTTGAAATTAACCTTTGAACCTTTTTTTTTTTTGTACACGGCGGCGGAGGCCTAAAGCGAAAAGGTTTTATAATACCCAGCTGAAGGCCTAGGACTGGGGCAACGGTGCGCGTGCCCACAGAGAAGACTCTGAGTGCCGCCTCTGGCACCCGTGCCATAGGTTTGCCACCACTGCCCTAGGCTTTGACCAAGCAAAGCGAATAATATCCAATAGAATAAAGGACATGGAGTTCCAAGAAGAACTAAATAGGTTGCCTTGCCACAGTAGGGATAGAATCAAACAGGGTGTGTGGGAATCGGCAAGATATTTGAATAATCTGACCTTCCCAAAACAAATAATAGCTTTTTTCAGAGCCAGATTTAACATTCTTCCCTCAGCACTCCTCCAGGGCAGGTATAAGAGAACACCAATAGCAGAACGGGTATGTATATGTGGTAAAGAAGAAGTCAAAGACATCTCATATGTTTTATTGTACTGTGAGTTATACCAAGTTTATAGGACAGCGTATATTCTCCCTTTATTAGAGAGATTGCCGGGGAGGGCAGACAATTTTTATGTAGGCTTTCTCCTCCAAGACTCAAACCCTTCTATCACACATGCAGTGGCAAAATACTGTGTTGCAGCAATGTCCACAAGAAAAAATTGGTTACAGATTTATAGTCGTCAACTTGTGCCAATTTTTTGGAGATAATGTTTGGAACATTATATTTACTCACACATTAATCGGCTGTCCACTCACGTAAATTAGGGAGTGACCCTAACATTTTGAGAACATGTATTTTCTTAACAGGGATGTTATTATTTACTATTAATGTTAGTACTATTTTTTTTATTATTATTATTATTTAATATATTGTAAAAAGTGATGGCTATTGCTGGTCTACAACCGTAATAAAGTTTATTATTATTATTAAAGCTTGGTTTCCCCTCAGTATTCAGACCACTCTTATCAGCCATACTTTTCTCAAAATTCTCGGTAATTATTCAAGTAATATCCTAGCAGTGCAAAACATGGAGGAGCGCTAGATGTCTTAGTGCACCTAGTATCTTGGACAACTTGAATTCTTTTTCTAGGAACAAAGTAAGAAAAATAATAGGTTCTCATGCTTTAATATCTTAAACCCCACTGAGTACAGGTGATCCTTGACTTACGACCACAATTTCTGTGGCTATGTCAGAAATTTTCTTACCACATTGGTTAAGTGAATCACTGCACTTGTTAAGTTAGTGGCATAGTTGTTAAGTGAACGCAACTTTCACATGGACTTTGCTTCTCAGAAGTTCGCAAAAGGTGATCACATGACCCCGGGATGCTGCAACCGTCGTAAATGTGAACCAGTTGTCAAGCAACTGAATGTAAACCGCCTGGCCCTGGGGTTGCTGCAACAGTCCTAAGTGTGAAAAATGGTCATAAGTCCCATTTTTCAGTGGTGTTGTAACTTCAGAGGGTCACTAAATGTAACTCGAGAACTACCTGTATTTCTTCAGCAGCACATAAAAAGACATGAGCTGGAAGTCAGTCGTCTTATTTAGAAGAAGAAGAATTTTAAGTCGGTGCCTGGAGGTGATTTCGCAAGGTTGATCTGTAATGTACTCAATTATGGAGGCTTATTTTATTTCAGGAAAGTGCAGGTGGTGAGTTACACCTTATCACAGGTGCTTTTCCAATTAGCTCTGTGTTTTCTAGGTGAATGTGTGGCCAGAAGCCAAACGTCTTTGCCACTAGCAACAGACAAAATCCAAACTAATCCAAGGACTCATCTTGTTTCTGATTAGAACACCTCTCCCTCCCCCCCCCTCTTTTTATATTTTATTACACATGGAAGGATCTACGCCTGCCTGGAAACAAATAAACAAACATAAAAGAGGCACACACATCGCATTAGGCAGCTTCAATTCATTTGGAGTCTACTTTTTTTTTAAAAAAATAAAAAATAAAAATCATGCTTCCCAGCAGCTGCAATTCAATTTCAACTCAAGCTGTTTATCAGCTTTGGGCAAGAAACCATTCCTATCTCGATTCTCTATCTGCTAAATGTTTTCTTTGACTAATCAGTATCTACATAATGAATGATATTATGCAACCGTTGCAGACAAGTAGCTTTCAGTTCTTAATTGGAGACAACTGATCATATTCTGTAAAATGAGGCAAGCCTACTTGTGAAATGTACCAGATTGACAAGGCATCATATAGGCAGAAATTATGCAAGTTCTACCGATTACTATCATCTTACCAACATTTGTCAGCAACTCTATTGTTGCTAATTTAAGGGCAAAGGAGATGCTAGAAATGGATTTTTGTCTTAGCTTAATGTGGCTAGGGGGTGTTAAATTCAAATAATAATGCTTATAAACTCTTCTCTATTGCTCTGAGATGGCCTAATTCAACAGATGGAATAATTGCGTGGGGTGTTAAAGATAAAAAGATAACAGCATGTTTTACAAAAACATCTAGGATCAGGCATTCTGTGACTTCAAATACTATCCACAAACTTGCTGTGATAACACTATTGGACGTACTTGTCCTAGCAGTATATCTAAACAACTGAATTCAAGATATGCCAGGGAGAGGCAGACAGACAATGTTTAAGTCTACTGTGTTTGCTGCAAGAGGGAATGGAAAGACAGAGGTCCTATGTCAGGACCTATGGAGGAAACTTGGCTGTTGAACTCCTGTCCATAACAGTCTCACTCAATATGACCGATGGTTAATTGCCAAAGGTTTAGCATAGCCATAGGTCCTCCCCTCTTGCGCTGTATCAGGGGTCTCCAACCTTGGCAACTTTACAATTTGTGGACTTCAGTCTCCCAAAGTTAATTTTCTGAACTTCAATGTTTTTTCTTTTAGAATATACAAAATGTGGTTATCAATACCATTCTCTCTCTTTTTTTTCCTTACTAGGCTGCTATTGTTCAAATAAATTCAAACTACAATTGACCTAAACTTGGCTGGTCAACCGGTCATGTTTATTTGACCGGTTCAACACCAACTGGTTCAAAACTTACACTTTTTTTTAACACCTGCCCTTCAGCTTGACCCCAACTGTTTAAGATTCCTATCTAGCCTTGAGAAGCTGTTCCATCACAGCTTTTTGGGTAGCTTTCATTGCATCTGCAAAAGCATGGGTGATTTCTTTGATTTTGCCTTCAATGGTATTATTCATTGTGGGGCTACGGGTGACTAACTGAACTATCCTGCTCCCAAAATACTGACTCAGAAGACCTGCTGAATGCCAGCCTTCATAATCTTTCACTAAAATGCAAAAGGATAAACAGCATCAAACTTTTCCATAATCCTAGGAGTTTCAACTTGCTTGTGGTTTTCTGATGGAATAAAAATATTGACATACCATTGACAAGCTTCTCCTTGCTTAACTGATGGCTCTATCCAAAGAATATCTAACATCCACACTAAATACAGAGAGCACCCAGCACATTGATTCAAATGGAGCAAAACACACATACATTATTCTCTATTTATATCATCCCTGCTTAAATCCCTTTACATCTGCCAAGATCATGATATTTTTCTCTTTCCATTAGTCAACTGCTTCTTAGGTATGATCATAAAAACTGGTATGTTAGATCAGACCAGAGATTTATTTAACCCAGTATTTAATTTCTTTCCATGGTCAGCTCTGGGTCCAGAATAGCCAACAGGCAAGGGATGATATTTCATGCCTTGTTATTTTGGTAATAACTAGAAGGTAAGGAGTGATGAATCATTAGAAGAAAAAAATCAGCAAGTGGCTGTCATTCAATGGTTTATTGTCATACAGTAATTCAACCTAAATAAATATGAAGTGATTCATGATTTCAAATTAGTTTTAATTTCCCTATGAAATCAGGACCAATTATCTCTTCTGTCTAAAAGCTGTCATCTCTGAGGCTCTGGAAGACAACCGGTAAATTTCTCATCCTGTTCTGATAAATTTGAGGACTGATAGAAAGTCTGCAAATATCACAACATATGGACAGAGGGCACAATAGTTCCATACAGAAATCTCGATGTCCTAATGCAACCAGAAAGAGGGGAAAAAAAACCCCAACAAAATGAACAAACTAATTATGAACTTGAAAGCAAATGATTGGAAAAAACAAAATTGTTTGTTCTCTAACAACATTTTATGTAAGTTACGCCGACCTTAAACATAAAAATAGTAGGTGAGTTGCCATGGCTAATATTCAGTATTTCCTCCATGGCTAATATTCAGTATTTCCTCCATGAATTTGTACACTTTGGACTCATTAGTTTCAGGATATTAGAGCCAACATTTTCAAAAAACAATCTAAACCAGGGATTCCCATCACGTGATGAAGTACGGTAATTCATCTTTTAAGATGAAGACTTTATCTCTCTGATTTCAATGCCCAATATTAATATTGTACAGACTGAACATTATATCAGCCACTGTGCAATACCTTGCATTCTCATATCAATTAAAAGTAAATACATTTCTGCAGAAGGAGGACAGGTTCATAAAGTCTCCCAAAAGGAAGCTTAAAATAAGGCAAAAATTAGACATTTTCATGTTTGAACACCAATTTCCACAGTGCTTCTTGTTTCTAGGATGTTTCAGAAAGATCAGTTATCAGATGTTTCAGTTTACCCAGGATAAAGGCCTCTATTCAGTTATTTAATATATTCACCTGCTTCAACAATTGCTGTGATGTTATAAGTTTGAATTAATTAGTATTTGCAAAGAATTTTTAATGCTGTCTGGGAGACTAGTTAAATTGCAAAGTGTTATTGCAAAGCTATTATTGGCACAGGAAAGAACCACAGCAAGTGTCTTTATTTTGCATCTCATTATTATCCAAGAATACTCTTTCCCAATTGTGTTCTCATTTTTTTTTTCACAAACAAAGCAGGGTGCTTAGTGGGCTCTTTCCACATATGATTAATAAAACTAGGAGTGTTATTCCAAATTGCAAGTGATAATTGGGAGGCCGTGCCTCATTTGGCTTGCTGTAAGATCAGCACTTTAGAGCAGAAACTTTTTTTTCCCAACAAAGAGGCAACCAGTGCGCTAAGAGACATAACTTTTCAAATTAAACCAAGAGGAAGAAATAAAAATGCTGTCATCAAAGTCATGAAAGAACATTTGTGAATGCATTTCTGCACACTGGTAGTTCTTGATTTGACGGGTCCTTGGCGCTCTCTGAGCTTGCTTGTTTTCTTGCAGGCGTTTCATTACTCAACTAGGCAACATCATCAGTACTACACAGGAGTGGGGTATATGGAGTGAAACAGGAGGAGGAGCAGGAGGAGGAGTGTGAGTTTTTTGGTGCTATCTGAGCTTCCTTGTTTTCTTGCAACTAGCTAACATCATCAATGCTAGTCTGATGATTAGCTAGCACTGATGATATTACTTAGTTTGGGTAATGAATCATCTGCAAGAAAACAGGCAAGCTCAGAAAGCACCAAGGACCCCCTCATGTCAATCCTGAGCTACAAATATTGTCCTTCAATAAAGTTCTTGACTGATGATCATCTAGCACTGATGATGTTATCTAGTTGGGTAATGAAATGTCTGCAAGAAAACAACCAAGCACCAGAGAGCACAGTTCTTAAATGAGTCACGCCCGATTTTATGAGCTTTTTGCCAGAGCCGTTAAGCAGTCACCACAGCAAAGCGAACCGTGAGGTCGTTAAGCCAACTTGGCTTCCCCAAGTGACTTTGTTGGCTGGAAGCTGGCGGGGAAGGTTGCAGAAGGTGATCCCATGGTTCAGTAAAATCACCCTAAGCACACGGCTGTTGCCAAGCACCTGGGTTTTGACCCTGCAGTCGTGGGTATGCTCCGAAGGGTGTGACCACCCATCATAAATCACTTTTTTTCAGTGCCTTTGGAACTTCAAATGAAGTTCTAAGTTGTAAGTTGAGGACTGTAAAGAAAAAGTCCATGACCCACAGATTGTTGATGGCTTTCAGTTCCTGAATTCAACAGCATGGGGGTTGAGAGGGTACAAGGAAATAATGTAAACAGAGTTTTTTTTAAAATACTAATACATCAAAGGCTGCATTCCCCTCCTCTTCCTTTTACAAAAAGCTTGTGTTTAACAGAAACCCGTGGAATGTTCACCTTTTTCTCACCCAATACTTACAATATGAGCAGCAAAAACATAAGCAGGGAGAGCGAAAGTGAGGTGGGACTACGTCTCCTCAATGTCTCCTCTTCATCCCAGCCAGCCTATTAAGACACTGAACAGAGATGATAACAGGCACTCAAGAAAAATGTTTATTTGCCCCTCTCTCGTGGGCACACAAAACCTGATATTCCTTCTAGTAAAATTACACATATTCCACAGAGTCCTGACAGTCATTTTCAGAAAAAACATACATGCAAAGCTTGGTTGTTCTTACCTGACAAGAGTTCAACAGAAATGAGAAGACTGCAATGACCTATGACAGCTTTTAAGTGAGTCACATCGAATTTTACGACCATCGGTGCCACTTTTGCTAAGCAAGTCCCTGCAGTTGTTAAGGGAATCATTCACCTGTTAAGCAAATAAAAATAAAGTAGAAACTTACAATCGGGGGGGGGGCGGTTTTTGGGCACTCAGTCTCTAAAAGGTTCGCCATCACTGCACTAGGCTTATTATTCATTGGTTGTAAAGCTGTGAGTGACCAGTCAATGGCAGCAAAGAGTTGGGTTTATAGTACCTCTTTGCTGTCCCCTAGTGAAGGTCTGAGATTGTGGCTTTGATCTGTAGAAAGTGGAACACGTGGATGGAAAAGTGCACAGAATTATTATGACAAATACGCAAAAGTTCATAGTGTTATCACAACAAATGTGCTGTGTCTTTTTCTCTCTAGGGTTGCCATGTTCATTTTGTAAGATTGCACTGGCCTTCAGTCCTGTGCTCCAGGTTCTCCTGCTCAGCCAAGTATCAGAAAAAGCCACGGTGCCTAAAATTCGGTGTTCAACCTAAAGGGAATTCAAAATTAACAAAAAGTAATAATCAAGATATCTTGCTAATGCTTTGTGGGGGGGGGGACTAGGAATTGCTTTCTTTGTTTTTTCAAGACAGACTGCATGCTTTTGACAGGAACAGGATTATATTAGTATTTTCTCCATAAATGCCACACAGCACAATTGTCCATTAGCCGATGATAGACTTAAGGAAAAACATTCACTAAAGCAACCTGCTAATTTTGTTAATTCTCAAATTGTCTTGGTATTTTTTTTTTCCAGTGCTTTGGGCATGGGATGATAATGCACTACAAGGAGATTTCATTTTATGCAAAGTGTAATCCACCTTGAGTGATATATAATTGATATTTAATTAGCACATGACATAACTAAAAACTAATTTCCTCTCTATCTCTTTTCCAGGCTAGAATTCTAAAGGTTGGGAGAATTCCAGAGGAAAGGTAAAGACTGGGAGAATTCCACAAAAACACTGGAGGCCAAGCCGTCCCCAAATGGATCCCTGGGGCTTACAGCAATATTAAAAAAAATACTGCATGGGCCACCTGAGGTGTGAAGCTTTTAAGTCTGAGATCCCATGATTCCTTCCAAGGTTCATTTGCCTACTGTTAGATCAGTGGTTCTCAACCTTTTTAATGCCGCGACCCCCAACCGGTCGTAAGTCGAGGACTACTCAACTGGTGCAGCACCGTTTGCAGAATGGGACTTTTGGCGGGCTCAGCAGGGCAGAGACAGCCTGGACAATTCCTATTGGCTTTTGAAAGCCAATAGAATTAGACTCTATTCAAGAGAGTCTATTCTATTGGCTTTCAAAAGCCAATAGAATAAAAGGGAGTAGCACAGCTAAGGAAAAGGGGGAAAAAAAAGGCAGACTGCGTTGTTTGGCGACCCCCGTGAAATGGTCGTTCGACCCCAAATGGGGTCCCGACCCACAGGTTGAGAACCACTGTGTTAGATATTCCCAACTTCAGATGCAGATTTTACTCCTAACTACTTCTGTTTTTCTGTTGTTGTTGTTCTTCTTCTTCTTCTTCTTCTTCTTCTTCTTCTTCTTCTTCTTCTTCTTCTTCTTCTTCTTCTTCTTCTTCTTCTTCTTCTTCTTCTTCTTCTTCTTCTTCTTCTTCTTCTTCTCCTTCTCCTTCTCCTTCTCCTTCTCCTTCTCCTTCTCCTCCTCCTACTCCTACTCCTACTCCTACTCCTACTTCTACTTCTACTTCTACTTCTCCTTGATTAGGAACCACTTGTTGTTTACCATTAGCTTGTTTGTCCAAGTTGCTTGTTCCTTGATTGGAATATTCTGTATTGTTTGATTGTTGATCTAGTGTTAATTTTGGTGTAAACAACGGACTAATCAAGGAACCACCAAGAACACTCCCACCAACACTGATAGGACAAACTACCAGTATCTAGGCAGAGTTCAAATCCCACTCCCAACCAAGAAAACAACCAAGATCAGAGAATACCAAGGACCCCCACAGTTCAACCCTGAATATTCTCTTGTATTGCTATCCCATGTAGGTTTATTCTATAGTAATTGCATACTTATTACTTTCGCCCAGGAAATTGGTGATGGATTTGCATCCTATTAATTCCTTCTTGACATCCAAGAGACACTGCAAAAAAAGAAGGCTGATGACACCCTTTCTGCAACACAAGTGAGGATGCCTTCTTTAAATCCAGATTTTATACAATGCACTGGCTTGTTAAATCAGGATGATATGTACTGTACCTTGAGGAGCTGTCCTGAAATCCTAACCAGTTCTTCTTTCCATCATATCAGCATGTTCTTGCTATGTTATTGAATTGCACCAGTTCAGATTCTAAGACAATGAAGTTTCTAAAACCCAGGAGAGTTAAAAACATAGATTGAAATAACTTTTTTATTAAAAGGACAATGAGACCATTCAGATAAATTTCATGGAAATTATCGATGATTTCCATTGATGGAAATCTAATCAGACAGGTTCTACTAAGAATGGGTTTCTGATCAGTTCAATAGAGGTCCAGGACTCATGATTTTATGAGTTGTCCAAATTCAGGGCTGTATCAGTACCACTGCTACTACTAGGAGTGGTCCTGTCCTGCTTCACTCCTTCTGTAGACCACCACTGGAAGTTATAGAATTGCCAATTCCCCCTCCCCCAAAAATGGGGGCAAGAGAGAGAGAACACTGAGGAAATATCCTTTACAGTTATTTTATCCTGCTTCCTTTACCTAGGCTAGCAGATCTAGTGTATCAAAAGACAAGATGGCCACTTGAATTTCAGTATTTCTGCTACTAGCTACTGGTCACCTAGATTTTTGTAGGTTCTGGAAACCATGCCTCACCTGCAATAGCTGCTAATAAAAGTTTTTACTGATATATCTCAAAGGAAAAAAACTAAGATGGGTGGCTGGATAAGCCTCTTGCTTCATAAAAGTGGTAAGATCATGTGGAGTGGAATTGAATTCTGAAGGAGCAAATCAGCAAGTCACCACCACAGGGTAAAACTACCCTATGTTTAGGATCTCTGTTGGGGTGTTTATGTGTGTCTCTCTGTGTTACAAAAGTCCCTGATTGTAATAATCTACTATGATTTCTAGACAAAAGATCTTTCTACAGCTCTTGATGAACAATCAACACAGCCCTTAGTTCCCAGTGGCTCTTTACATTGTGTAGCTGTAATTTGCTACCCAATTTATGCACCATCACTAATCCCCAAATATTCATTTACACTAATTAAAAGCCTTGACACTTAATGCCTGGTGCATGTTCTCACTTAGCTTTATGAATTTTCATTTAATGGTTTGTTAGTCTCGATTTATAATTTCATCCTGGAAGGTCCCAGTTAATTCCTGCTAGAGACCAAGCCAAAAGTTTCAGTGGAATAATGTTTCTATATTCCATTGTTTATTTCCTTTTTCCTCCCAGTTAACGGCTAGTAATTCACCACTGGTTTTATTTATTTTGATCATTGCACAATTTTTATGGGCTTTCTGTGCAATCTCATCATATTTTGATATGGATAGGACATAGGCGTAGGCATAGGCAATGTGGTTGACAACACAGAGAATCAAGTAGCATGAAGTAGCTGGAGGTTGAGCTAGGATGGACTACTTAAGATTCAGTTTTGGAACTTAATGTTGGGCTGCAATGTAGGAGTAAAAAGTAAAGTTTCTGTTGAGTCAAGCTTAACTCCTTTGACTTTGTGAATACATCTCTATAATCATTTGTTATTTTCTTGGATGCTTCTCCACTGCCTAATCTAGTCCATATCTCAGTATTTCCATCCAAATATCAGCTTTGACCCTGCTTATCTTTTGACTAATTCAAAGTTAGCCAAATGCTGCTAAGTATACAAAGTGCCAACTGGAGCTGGATCCTTCTGTTGGGATTGCGTATTTGTGATCACACCCAGAATAATGAGACCGTTTCACTGGATCAGAATTTTATATCACTTTAACATGACAAAATGAGAAGAATTATCTTGCACATGGAGAAACAATAGGACAGCAGATTTGTCAAAAGAGGGAATAGGCAGATCCCATCCTAAAGAAAGGAGAGGGCAAATTATTACTTAGGGCAGAGAAGTAAATACAGAGTTAGGATTTCTCTATCTTAACTCATTATCGCTCAAAGGCAAGCAAGTTGTAGAACAGCTCAGACATTCCTAGTTATATCTCAACATGGAGCATTAGGATTATTTATGAGCTTGTTATGTTAAAGTGATATAAAATTCTGATCCAATATCACAGGTCTGGTCTCATTATTCTGGGTGTGATCACAAATATAGTTACCCAATCCCAACAAAATCCAACATTTTCTGCCTCTCTCTTTATCATTTACTCATCCATAAGAGGTATGCCTAAATTCCAATCCTGTTCCTTTGTGATCAGCTTGCTCAAAATGGTATATTTGTAGATCTCCAGCAAAGGGCAACATTTAGTGTGGTTGACATTAATCAATAAATCCCTATCTCCGGGTCACTTGAGAATTAAATATTTCTTCAAAAAATCAGCCGAAGACAAAGAGCGGTTGTTGATTATTTCCCAGTGTGCTTTTCACAGACATCAAAATGAAGAGATTTTAAGGTGAAATACAGTTCTCTTTGTGCTTTCTTAAAACACAATTTGATTGTTTTCTTAAGTAATCCCATTACTTTTTACTCTGTTGGACTTTAGGAAGTTGAAAATGTTCACATATTGTCTGATGCCTGGCAGTTCTCTCTGAATTACAGGCATGAAGCCAAAACCAACCTGATATAAATCTTTCAGGAACTTTACAATGTCACATACTTATGCAAATCTTTGAAATGTTGATAGCAACTGGCTCTACAACAAACTAAAGTTTTCAATTAGACATAGCTTACCAAGCAGGTTGAGAAACTGCATCAATGTGCATATAAGTGTGTGTGTGTGTGTGTGTGTGTGTGTGTGTGTGTGTGTGTGTGAGAGAGAGAGAGAGAGAGAGAGAGAGATATTGTACTGGAAAAGTAACCCCACACTATAAGAGTGCCATGCTATCTATTGTTATAATGAAGATGTTCAATTTTATGTTTTGCAGTGATCTTCAGTAAAAATTGAATGGCCATGGTTTGTGCCCTAGGGTCTAGGAGAACCAAACTTTCAGGAAAATTCTTGAATATTCAAGCTGTCGATGAATAGCTGGCTTATAGTGGGCTTAAATAACGATTAGCAGAGTAGATTTTGATTGGATTTAGGCAAAAACATCTTGATAATAAGAGCAGATTCTCAAAGGCAGGCCTGGCCCTACAACACCCTAGATTTGAAGCAGCCACTTTAGCCAGTGGACTACCAGGGACAAATTCTGTGTGGAACAAATTGTTTCACTGTTCCTAAGTGACGTAGCAGTTTAGAGAGAATTGCCTCCCTTGCTGGCCACTTCAAATGTGTCCCTCAGAGTTACAGATGTGAAGGTAGCTAAAGCATCTATCTACTTTTTGGGCACCTCATGATGGGTTGTCTTGAAGAACTTCTCAGAGTAATACCAACTGAATAACAGAATAACAAAGTTGGAAGGGGCCTTAGAGGTCTTCTAGTTCAATCCCCTATACCATTTCAGACAAATGGATGTCCAGTCTCTTCTAAATGGAACACCCACAACTTTTGAAGGCAAGCTGTTCCACTGGTTAATTGTTCTCACTGTCAGGAAATTTCTCCTTAATGCTAGGTTGCTTCTCTCCTTGATTAGTTTTTATCCATTGCTTCTCGTCTTGCCTTCTAATGCTTTGGAAAATAGGTTGACCCCTCTTCTTTGTGGCAGTCCCTCAAATATTAGATCTGCTATCATGCCGTTCCACATTATGAGTACCACATAAGCTGGATGGATGATGATGCGAAGACCACTGAGACAATGATGTGTGAGGGAAAAAAAACTTTCTTCTGCTTCCCCTACCAATTCTTTTTGGACTGCCTCTTCTCAATGAGTTGGCATCACTTGTTAAATCTAATGGCCTCTCCATGTTTTGGTCTACAACAGTCAAAATCTCAGACACCCAATAGACCAACGTCTCCAACATGCTCCATAGTCCAACAGATGAAAAGCACCTA